ATAAAATAGCCTCTGGTAGAGCCTGCATGTGTAACTGCATCCAAAAAATGCAACACATTTACTGATTAAACATCAAACTTCCTCATATAGACCTTTCACGATAGCCATCTTGGTTTCTTTAGAGGGGAAATAAGCACCCACTAGTGAGTGCACTCAGATGCATACACCAAGGCATGGGGGAGTCAGGTACAGTAAGTGAATATACATTTCTCAGATCACTGAGAAACTAGGGTAAGGCAGCAAACACAATGCCAGAAACTGATGCTTTTATAGAGGACCTTGGCTGGTTCTTACTGGTGCTTACCTTTACTCACAAGGCAAAAACTTTCAACTGGTGACATCTAAGAAATTGCCAGGTTTTCTCAGTCATCAAAAGCCACCAATGTCTGACCCCACTTCATGTAACTTTAAAAACACTTGACAGACACATTAACTTTTGAAATTGGCCTTGCAACCTCTAACATCCCAGCATCTCGGCCAGCCAATAGCTTATGTGAAGCAATGTCAGAAATAATGGCATTCACTGACAGGACAAACAGTCATGTGGTCACTGCCTTAACAGAGCCTACAGTGACAACACGGTGCCCAAAACCAGAAATCTGACATCAATCTTAGCCTGTAGCTACACTGAGTGACCTCACAGTCACAAAGGTTTAGTTTGCCAGAGCTTTGTCATGGGATGAATAATGTTTAAATTGGAATATTGGCATGATGTTGAAAGCTGCAGCAAGTTTTAATTAATTAATCGCATTTATTGGTCAAGTATGGCCAATAAAGGAATTTGTCTCTGGTAGAGAGGCCCTCCCCTATAGAGAACATTCAACCGAGGCAGCCATCTGTGGTGCCATTATTCACACAAATACCATTGGTGGTGCTGCTGCCCTGGCCATTGGGAGCAACTTAGGGTTCAGCATCTTGCTCAGGGACACTTTGACATGCGGACTAGGGAGCCCAGGAATCAAACCACCAACCTTTGTATTAGAGACAACCCACTCTACCTCCTAGACCACAGCTGACCCTTGATATGCAGCGGTGCATATCATGATCTCAAAAAAGGAATTCACCTGCAAGCATGCATAGAGAAAATTGAGTTTAAAATATATCTGTGGCTGCTGGACAGTGATTAGCAGTAATCTGCATTATTAACAGACCTGGAGCTGAGCATTTTAATAGACCACTTTGTTCTAACAGTGACAGTTTGCTAATGACTTCATGATCCTGTCTGAACCTGCAAGCTCCATTTTACACATTGGTCAATCACAAATGTAGTTCAGCTGGAGGGATTGTTCAAAGAGATATGAGATTCCATATGTCCCTCCAGATCTGGAGGACATTATCTAGTGTAGATGAAAATATAACATCTTAATGTCACTGTTATATTCAACAAGATAGGCTACCTTGAGTTGGACATTTCAAATGAATGAGTGAATAGTGCTGTCAGTGATGTATTTAGATCATTATTATTTCCATGTGAAACAGAGAGAGAGAGTCCGTATGTCTGCAAATTCACTTATTACTATGCATTAGTCGTGTCAGAGCTAGGTTAACATCTGCTCAGCAGAGATTTATCATTCATTAAAAACAGAAATGCCATGTGATACCTGTGTGCTATTCAATTATTCACTTTGATTACCAACCTCCTTTGCAATTGAGACCTGAGCAAAGACAGCGGCAACAATTTCAGAAAAGAAAATCCAACACACAACAGCAATATACAACAGTAGCAAGAAGAGAGTAGTTTATAAAAACAATTGTCAGTCTAATGAAAAATTAAATTTAATTAATTACTTTAATTTAGATGAAAAATGAGAGACAAGTAGAATCATTCACAATACAATTTAATGGTTGAATCTGTGTTAATTTAATTTCCTTCTGCAAACTATTCCAAACAGCTGGAGCTGAAAACATAAACGCTTTCTTTTTCCATGTTTGTCTGTAGGCTAGAGACAGACAACAGGAACATCTCTTGTGATCTACAATCATGGTATCTAGAATGGCTTTATAAATAAAACTATTCCACTGACTCAAACAGCAGACAGAAAGACATAGCCGACCAACTCGGCAGTACAGAGCACACTGTGGGGTTAATGATTTTAAATTGGTGAAAAATCTTAATGCGCTGTGATGGACTGTGATAGTCCAGCTGCCTCTCTGAGTGAGGGTGCACAATTATAAAACATGAAAAACTTGAATACGAGTTCATTAAGAATACCAAGAAACAAAATAACCTGTCAAGCCATGTCAAACTGATTAATGAAAGGGCAATCAGAGTCTGCTAGGATAGGTAATTAGTGGAATAATTTAAAGGCTGTCTGAGACACAGTTCTGTAACTGGGAGCTCTCGCATGAAATCATATTGCTTCACTTATGTTTGTTTTGACTATTCACAGACTGGAAGCCTTTTTTCCCCATCTTCATTACTAGTATGGGTTGGAAATGAATATTTTTTCTGCTACACTGACTTGGTAAATGATTGCAGAAAGATCTAAAGAAAAAAAAAAGCTTTGACAAACTATAGACAGGAATGCTTACATAGAAAGTAGTTGTCTTCAGAGGCTCAGAATGCAACAGCATTTTAACAACCTGATTCATCAAAAAAGATAAATCAGACTAAAATTGACTTTATGTTATTGAGATAAACCTGAGGGATGGGTTGGAAAATGATAGCCCCCGTAAAATTATATTTACTATGGAAGTAAAATGATTTCTGAATATACAGGTCAAGGTCAAAGTGTTTATTTGTCATATGCACAGTTAGGAAACGTGTTTCCCTGTAAAATGAAATTCTTACTTTGTCGTCCACATGAATGCCACAAAATACAAATGAAATATAAAGTAGATAAATAAGTAACACAAAATCTAAGGCACTTTAAGCAGCAAATGCAGCAATATAATAAAAAATATATACGAATATAACAGAGAATGTATGCTGCATGGGAGCAGCATATGCAGCAGTCAACAGTCAATGTGCAATTATGCATGTGCAAACAGAATGTAAACAGTACATCACGTATTTCCTGGTAACAAACTCCTCAGCTGTTAAGGAGTCTGATGGCAGTGGGAAAGAAAGAGTTTTTCAGTCTAGTGGTCCTGCATTTCACACTTCTGAACCTTCGACCAGATGGTAGGGAGGTGAACAGTCCGTGCTGGGGATGGGTGGGATCTTTGAGGATGGAGGCAGCTTTCCTATGCACCCTGCGATGGTAAATGCTCTGCAGAGAGGGCAGTGGAGTCCTGGTGATCTTCTCCGCAGTCTTTACCA